ATCAAGGGAAAAACCCCTGGAGTTTATAAGAAGTGGGATGAGATCTTGTTCCAAATACGAGATTTTAGAAAACCACTCTATAAAGGGTTTCATCTAATTGAAAAAGCTATCCAATTTGCTCAACAGTATCTTGGAGATAGCTTTTTCATTAGCCCTCATCTTTCTCCAGATTTGCAGGAACCTTCAGATGAAATCATGAAGACCACCTTAGCCCCACTGGCGGGTGGAAGACAATTAGTTCCCCCATTGGGAATTAATCAATATTTAATCGAAGGATCCTCCTCAACTTCTACATCTATTCCATTAATGGATGATGCTCAGAGGCAACTCAGGATGTATTTCAATCCACATGTTCCCTTATCCGAGCTGCTAGATGATTCAAGACAGCTAATTTTTCAGAAAGCAGAAGCTTCAAGCCATGCTAAATTGAAGGCAATTCAACAATTCCTTCAACAAATAGCTGAAGATGGTATTAACCGATCTGGTATAGGCTTCTCATGGGACACCTATTATTCTGCTACAGAAGGAAAACTCAAAAGGTGTAATAGGTGTGAAGGAGAAACTGTAGATGGGATTCCACTTGATAGGTATGACTATCAATGTCAACTCGTCTATAGCATTTGCAGAGCTTCTCTAGATCTATCCTCCTATGAACCCATTCAATTTTTATATAAAGGGGAAATCATTGAGTTAACTCCACAATTACTCCTTGATTATGGTTTTCTCTATCAATTAATCTTTACAAAAATGGCGGATACTGATCTTGTTAGAAGAAAATTTGCCATTGCTGTCTTAGAAAGCATGCCTCCCAACTATATTGAGGCATTGATTCAGAGCAAGGCCCCTGAATGGAAGGGTAGACATTTGCTCCCGGCACAACACAAAATTATTTTAAGAAGAAGGAGCAGTTTACCGACTCTCTACAGAGACGCTCAGGCCTGGCCATCCACTACTCAGTCCCTCACAAAACAACTCAGACACTGGAGAGCTAAAACAATGTCCCACATGCAGGTTATGGGAGATGATTTTTCAGCTGGATACACCCTCTTTACGGAGGATAATATTCAGAAATTTTATCTTGATCCTGATGTGTTTTTTCAGAGTCAGAGTCAAAGAGAGATTTCCTTTTCACCTCAGACAAGCTACACTCAGCCACTAGATATTTACTCTGAGGAATATAAAAATGGTGAAGATCAATACGAATATCGCGGCACTGATTTGGGTGACGACCTTCCCAATGATGACCCAGATGATCCGGAGGGTATAGCCTTTTATGATGATCTTGACTCAGTTGGGTGGGAAAATCTCGAAAACCAAATGGAGGGATAATAAGTCAGACAAAGGAACAGGCATGCCTCACTCCAAAGTGACTGTCATGAGACATGTTCCGCAAAAAGCCAGTTACTTTTTATCTTTCCCAAAAGATAAAGATGACTGACTTTCAGTTACCTCTGTAAATAACCCTAGGGTTAGTTAATCATAGTTAGTTTTATGTAACTAAGGTTACTTTTACTGCAGTTACTTTATAACCCAGGTTAGTTTTTCTTTCTTTAAATAGACCTATGTAGAATTAGAAGTCACGGTTTGAAAAATTAGAAGAAAGAAAATAGTAGGAAGTAGAAATAGAGAAGGAGAGAGTCTGCTCAAAGGTTGTACTCAGCTACTCAAATCCTTTGTAATCTGCACTCTTTCAAGTATGTATAAAATATATTTCCAGATAATTTCTTTAATGTGTTATTTAGCTTAAACACAAATCTTTGGCAAAGAGAATAGTTTGTAACTTTTGTTTGTCTCATTATTTTATATTCATATACTTATATATAGATGAAGGATTCCTGTTTCAGGCTGTTTTCGACTTCTTTCACAAAGATCTTTAAAAAGGAAAGATAATTGTTTTTCATGACCTACACCACTGTGGAGAGTAAGAAAGTTAAACTTGAATAGCCTGGTAGAGGAGAAATTCTTTACTATCTAGCCCTACTGGAGAGTATCCTGTTGAAGCCGAGGATGGCGTTTTAGGAGAAATCACCAGGGATTTGGAAATCAAGTTTCTTGATTGGGTTGGTCACTAGCTTTCTTGGGAAAGAGGGGGGTCACTGGGTTTTGAAAAAC